TTCTTCGACCGGGGAAAGGAAAGGGTCCCCATGAACTGAGAGTGATGGGCGATCTAGAAGTTGGAGGCCGACTCAATACACCCCTTTGTCGCCCCCCCAAGCGCGAATTTTGGAGGTAATGGAAAGCGAAATTCACGACAATGTCGTCAGATGGCCCAAGACGAGGAAGATAGGCCAACGAGGCCAAAGAGTAATCTATACTGCCGATTTCATAAGGATTATGGGCACAATACTGACGACTACAGACATCTTAAGGATGAGATCGAAAGGCTGATTAAGGCAGGACACCTGAAGGAATTCATATACAAGGATCGGGAGAAGTCGAGCAGAAGGAGAGAGAGATGCCGGAGTCCTCGCAAGAGGGCGAGAACGCCCGAGAAAGAGGAGCTCCCACAGAAAAGGGGAATCATACATATGATATTTGGAGGATCAACTGATGGGGATTCGAATCGAGCAAGGAAGGCGTATGCCCGAGGGCGCCATGGGAAAGTCGAGGTACAACAAGTCGACGAGAATGGACCGGTAATGAACTTCGGTCCAGCAGATGTGGGAGAAGTTGAAAGACCTCACAACGATGCATTGATGATAACTGCCCAAGTTTCGGGATATGAAGTACAGAGCGTGTTTGTCGACACTGGGAGTTCTGTGAATGTGATTTTTTAGGATTTTCTCAAGAGGATAGAGCTTGACATACAACTCACACCCCTCCATACCTCACTATTCGGTTTCAACGGGTCAGAGGTCGCGCCCCTAGGGGAAACCATGCTCGCTGTCGTCCTAGGGGAAGGCTACTTGCGGAAGGTAAAAATGGTGAGATTCGTGGTGGTCGATGTCGAGTCAGCTTACAATGTGATCTTGGGGAGGCCAGCGCTTAATGCATTCCAGGCGGTAGTATCGACCTACCATATGAAGCTAAAGTTCCCAGTCGGAGACCAAGTTGGAGAAACTCGAGGCGATCAAAAGCTGTCGAGGACTTGTTATCAAATCGCTGTAAAAACCAACCAGCGGGCCGAAGTTAAGGAGGGAAAGAAACCAATGTTGAGCGAGAAAAGGCCAAGGAATAGTGATCTCGAACCATACGGGGAGCTAATGGAAACACAAATTGGAGAAACGAAAGAACAGACCACTAAGGTCGGGAAAGATCTGAAAGACGAGCTGCGAAACCAACTCATCACATTACTAAAGGAGTTCAGGGATGTTTTCGCCTTCACCCCTGAGGAATTGACGGGGATCGACCCCACTATTATGGAGCATAAACTCAACGTCGACCCCCTCAGAAAGCCAGTAAAACAACGACTTAGACGCCATGGTGAAGAAATCAACAAAGCCATTGAAGTCGAGGTGGATAAGTTGCTGCGAGCAGGGCACGTCAAAGAAATCCAATTTCCCGAGAGGATATCCAACACCGTAATGGTGAGAAAGGCGCTAAA